ACATTGTTAAAACGTCTAATAGTAACTCTACTGATTCGCTCAATTTAATTTATACTCAGCAACAACTACTCCGTTTACAACTTCGGCTCCGATTACCTCCAATGAAAGATTAATAACAAAAATCTTTATTACACCTCAGGATATTTCTTCTACCCCAAGCAAGGTTACTACAAAAGGTTATCAAAACATTTGCATTTGCATAGTTTAATAGAAAACTGAATTAAAACCAACTGTTTATTTTTGTTTTACAATTGATGGAAGATGTGTAAAAGTTAATGTCAAAATCTGTTTAATCAATGTAATGTTTGAATTCAGTTGAATAGCATCAATAAGACTAACTCTTGATGACGTTTATTTTAATATATATTTATTTCTCTTTTTAGGTTTTTTTACTGCTGCCACAACAGCACAAAGCGTAGCAAAAAATTTAGGTAAACATTTTAGTAATTAAAAACGTGTTTTCTAGTTTTGTCTGACTGAGCAGAGAATGTGCCAAACCTAACATTTTCCCCATTAATTAGGCAAATATGTAAAAGGTTTTCTTTGAGCGTATGTAAAGTATTCAAAATTGAATTTTTTTGATGCAATTTTAAACATTGTTGTAGTGCTACTAAATGTGATTATGTCATTATTGAACTTATCATTTTTGTTTATTTATTAGGATTTATTAGGATTGATAAGGTAACAAATGATACTAATTATATAGTTGAACCCGAATTTGCTGACACTGCATATTAAAAAGTTTGTGTACAATCACATGCTCGCTACAAAAACAGCGTTTATTTCTTTGATTTACATAAGCATCGCTTACTCGTAATTGTAAAAACGTTCAATAGTGACTCTATTGATGCGCTTATTTTTTTTAACTTAGCAACTACCACTCCGTTTACAACTTCGACTCCGATTACTCCAAATGGAAGAATGATAACAAAAATCAACACAACACCCCAAAATATTTTATCTACCACGAGCATGATCACCATAAGAGGTAATAAAAAACCTTTCAAAAATATTTTACGATAAAAATTGAAACCGAACTTTTTATTTTTTGTTTTGTTTTACAATTCACAAACTTAGTGGAAAATTTTCAAAAGTAAATCGAAATCATAATGTTTTAAATCAGATAAACAGCATTAGTAAGACTAATTTTTGATGACGTTTACAATATTATATTTATTTATCTTTTTAGGTTTTACTACTACCCCTACAACGACACAAATCGTCGCAAAAAAGCCAGGTATACATCTTTATTAATTGAAAACGTATTTGCTAGTTTTGTAAGACTTAGCAGAGAAAGTCAAAACATTACATTTACTGGCGCAATTTTTATCAGTATTTTAGTTCCATTAATTGTTATTTGTATTATGATTCAATTTATCATTTTTATTAAAGAAATTACTTGAAATATTTATTATAAGTTTGGCTCATGGTTTTTATAGTTTCATACGAAAAGAATTATAATTATATAGGTGTACCAATATGTTTTTAATTATATAGGTTTACCCAAATTTGATGATACTGCATATTAAAATGTTCGTGTATACTAACGTTTTCGCTACCAAAACAGGTTGTATTTGGATTCACATAAACATTGCTTACTCGAAATTAAACTCGGTTTCTTATAACTAATAGCATAATATGTATCATAAATTTCTTTCAAAATCGTGTTTGGTATACAAGATGTAATAACTCATATATACTTAATGTGCTATAATTAATTTCATCAAATCTTCATTGTTACGTTTGTATATTGTACATATAGAAACTTCCCCTGTATTTGTGACAACCACCAAAAGAAACACCATCTCAAAATTGATTACGTCATCCGAATCACTATATGAAGGTAAATATGAAGTCACACATTATATAGCCATTTACAAATACGTTAATTAGTTATGTCAGTTATATATTCAACCTAAAATACATTAATGTTAAAATATTCACAATATCTAGCCGCACAAAACGTATCTCAACCGATTACTCATAAATCGTATAAATAACTCAATTTTGCACATTCTCAAGTTTATACGTTGTGAATATTTTCCAAGTGTTCTACGATTGGCCTTTTATATGATTTGCATAGCTAATAACATAATGAAGCAAATGTGAATTTTTATATTAAATATATATACATATATCATAATATCTTTAACAGAATGGACGAACTCGAAATTTGAAACGAATTCAACGGCAGTGAAAGACACAATGAGTCACGATATCACAGATGTTGTATCACAAGTGACCCATGCACTAAGAACAACCTCATTCTCGAATCACACTATGGAAGGAAATGACGAAAACGCTGATTCAAGAATGGATACAATCCTAGCTATAATCGTCCCTTGTTCTATAGTCTTACTACTTGGTGTCATAGCAGTTCCAACTTTACTCTGCCTACGTAAAAGGTAAAACACAGGAACAATATTTGGAAATAATATAAGTACTATAGAGTAGAACCAACAGAGTTCTAACCTTCAATCTAGAAGTAATTCAAGCAACATTCCTATTTATTTCATGACAAAATTCCTTCTATTACGTGGAAATAATAACGCTTATCAAAATTGAAATAAAAATCCTAAAATTCCTAGATAAATCCTTACATATAGGTAGATATATTATGTGGAAATATTAGTATAAATTAAAACAATATTGAGGTTATACGCTTGTGTAACGAGTAATCATTGGTGAAGATAAAAGTTGTCTTCCTTTTTATTATAAGATGAATGGTTTCGACCAAATAAATACAAAAAAGTTATATGCCTCGAAGAACTGCACAAACTTGTCGTTTTAAAATTGATTCTTGATCCAATAGGGGCTACAAACGCCTATATCAACGTTCAAAAATTTTTTAATAATATTTTTAATAATTTTATTGTATATATTCCGTCTAGAAGAAAATTGCAGAATCAGAATCAGTCAATTGAATTGCACCGTGAATCGACTACTGCGGTAGGTCAATCAGCACTCAATTTGGCAAAAAAGCCTGTAAATGTGTTTGAACAAAACTCTTTGCACGAAGTGTCCTCTGAATTCGATTCTTTTTCGGACGCACAGGGGGAACATTCTTCGTCTGGAGAAATGGTCAATAACGTTTTGTATGGCATGGTATAACGCTTTACCGTACAAGACTAAACCAACAGTCATTTTTGCATTATTCAATATCGACAAAGAGGATTGAAGGTTCATGAAAACTGTTTCGTTCAGCTATTTGTGAAAAAAGAAAACCAAATAACTAAAATAAAAATAAACTTAACCTATGCATATATTATTTATGCAATGGCATATCCAATACCTAATAAAATAATCATTTGACTGAAACACGTTTCGAATAGTTGTTTCGAATGATAGTGCTTACCGACAACTATGATTTAATTTTAAAATTACAAAAAATTGAAAAACATTTTAATGGGGTAAAAATAAACTCTGTATAAACTCTGTAAACCCTCTATAAATAAAAATGCATTAGGGTTACAGAAAATTTTATTTTTTTGCAAAATCCATTCTTGCACATAATATGAAAATAATGTATTTCATCGTGAATCACTGAGTCGCCATAATAAGTTATTAAATAACATTTTTATATTCTTGATATGTTTTGATATTTTTATAGTATTTTCTCAATTTTGAATAATTTAATTGTAAAGTGGTAACGTTACTAGATGAAATATAAATGAACATTGTAAAGTCCTATTTTTATCTGTTAATCATTTTCTTCTATGAAAACAATTGAACAATATTTGAATAGGGCAGGTGTGTGCAACCTTGGACCCTCGTGCCCAATGCGACCCGAAAGGTAAAATTGTGCGGCCCGGGGAGAAGTGCCAATTATGAATAGTTTGTCCGCCAATCGACTTTCAATTTAGTTAAACTGGTACGTATTCATATTGTAATCATATTGCAAAATACCCAATGTTAAAAAAAACGTTTTTCTCACTGAACTCGTTTAAAGTCGGTGTGACAATAAAATTGAATAGCAGTTTTCTATAGAAATTTACGCGTTTTAACTCCCACTTCTGCCAGGACCCCTAACAACAATGCCGTAAGATCAATGAAAAAAAAATTGTGCGCCCAACTACTGGAAAAGCTATCTTAATTAAATGAAGACGCGGCCGCGGCTTCCCCCAGTTATTTGTATCTGGTCATTCTGCAATAAAGGTTGCACATCCCTTAATTAACTTGAACGAGAAGTTATTTTGGATTTACGAGAAACATCCTTTTGCTTTTTAGAAAGTTCTTATCAAATGGTATTAAAATAAAAAAAGAAAACCAAATTACAACTAAGTTGTAATACCAAGCAACTGATGCATACAATAAGTATTGTGCAATCCAACAGCCCTTAAAAGAATCGTTTGGAGATGAAATATTATTTACAAATCATTAAAACCCGTTTTTAGCGCACGATTGTTGGATGTATAGTGATTGTTGGTAACTAAAATTTGATGTTTCAAATTGGAGTAGATAAACAAAATTAAAAACTTATTTCATGTATAAGTTTTGTGACAAATTTTACATTTCAACACAAATCTGTCTTACTCACAACTCATGTACGTCAGTATGGTTCAGTAGTTCGTCATAAGAAGTTGTTGTCGATACTTTATAATATTTATTTTAGATATGTTTGTGATATCGTGTTGTGTTTTCTTAGCTTTAATTGTTTTAATACTTTGATATGTTTGTGATATTGTAAGGAGTTTTCTTAGTTTTATAATTAGGTTATGCTTGGTTCCGGATTTTTTTCTGGAATTACAGAAACCGTCATTTTATCTTAATTAAAAAAAATCGTTTATAAATAGCATTAATAATGCAATGAATGACATTACTAATTCCACTACTTTCGTAATTGTTCTGAATTATTATTATTTTTTTTTTAATATAATAGTAAGATAGTAATATAATTGCCATTATGTAAATAAAAGGTATTCGAATGCATACATGGGTTTCTATATTTCAATAGAAAAACAAGGAATAAGAATCAATAAGCTGTTAATAGTGAGAGTAATAAATAGATAAAACAAAAAATAGATACGAGTATTTCATTGTTCGATATATAATATTCAAGGCGCATAGCGTTGTTCAGTAAGTTTTGTAAAATTTCCCTCAAGGACGCCTTCTGTAATATCAAGCGCTATTGTAATTCTCAATAAATGTGAATTGCAGGAAATTGTTGACACTAATTGAAAAATTACAGACTGCTGTAAACTGATTCTCTGAATGCAATCTACAGTATGTGTAGTAGCTTAAAGGAAAAAGAGAGAGATATATATAGAGATTTATTATTTCGTAAACCAGAAAACAACGAGCATTACGAAACGTTTTTCGGTATAGACTGGGGGAGCGATACGACCATACGGTCATCAAAGTCAAATCCCCCCATGGAATCTCCCAGCAATAAAAAAAAACATAATTTAGACAGACTTCTATAGAATGCCTCTGTAAATGTTATATTCAGCAGTGGTTTTCAATCATGGGTTTGGCATAACCGTAGGATTTCGTCTACACATTTCTTCAAAGCTTGCGATACACTCATATACACGCATGCGCGAGTAAGGATAATCATATAATAGGTGAGTGTTCGAAAGAGTTCCATAAAATACATTCAGGTTCTCCGCATCAAATTGTGTTTGATAAAAAATACAACCATATAATTAAATATACATAGGATTAATTGAAAACGGCTTCTCCAAGAGTTTAATATGTTTTACTTCTGCTACACCCAAGAGGTTGAAACCACTGAAATACGCTCTGTATAAAAAGGCAAAAATACTAACACAGGTTTCTTGTTACTCATACGTAAATTATATTACACGATATTTTCTGGTTGTACATCCTGCTACTTATTTGGTTGCAATAGCATTGAAGGGGGTAAATAAAAGTTCGTTTAAAAATGAAGATAACCGTTCTTGTTAACAATAGTAGGCTACTTAAAAACTCATTCCAACATTCAGATCTGCTTCAACCGCTAAACTAGAACATATTAAATCTGGTATAGGCAAAATTCAAATTTACTTTCTGCATACAGTGATGAAATGACCTAATAGCGGAATTAATATTTTTCATTTTGTTCACTTAATTATATTGAATAAATTTCTTTATTTTATCTGAGTAAAAGATTGCAATGTGAAAACTTTTCCCGAGGAAGCTCAGATAAAACAATTTTGCTTTTGTCAAAATAATTCAGGTATTGGATATTAAAAATTAAAAAAAAAATCTTGTTAAATTCAATTGATTTGAAATTTTCGATTTCTTTGTCTGAAATTAATCATATATATCTCAGCGCATTAATGATGGGTTAGTAACCAATAATCTTAATAATATTCAACCAATAACATATCTCTCATGAAAATATTTTTGCATATTCTAGAACTATAAGGATAAACCCAGAAAACGTAGAAATGTAATTGAAACAATTAGGAATGTTATCTGAAATCTATATAACCGTTTTCTTCCACTCCTGTATGAATTGGTACTTCGTAGTCAGCGGATTCAGTTACAAATATTTTTTTGATCGGTTTCAGATATGTGTTTCCTCTAACTTTTATAGACTCGTATTCTCTACCGTTTTCCATAATGATTCCTTCATAGGCGTGTTTTTCACGGATCGGATTTACTGATGGCATCGAAGCTGGAGCACCGATGTAGTAAGGATCAGTTGTGGACTTCATAGAGGGTTCGTTCAAAGATCTGTTTAAATCAATTACGGTGTTGCTATCGTATTCAGTATTTGATTTACCGCCATTTTTTCTAAATTAAAAAAAAAAATACATGATAAAGTTTGAAAGCTGATTGTTGAGGTTCTCGTTGGTGGAAATTGTAATCTTACAATATAAAACAAAAATTGAAGTGCAGTGGCCACTCGTTAAGAAATCATGTTCGGAGTGAAAGAATATGTAATATAACTATATATAACTAACGATAATTTTGAATGCTTATGTTAAAAACAGTGGTCGACAAACTTCATGTCATACTGGACCATATATATACATTTTCGGTAGCGTTCGGGTCATATTAAACTTAAGGCTGGGGCGCATCCGCAAATCTTATTCCTTAATTACAAGCAACGACCAATAAATTTATGAGTAATTTTGTTTTTTTATGCATCAAAAGTGAGGTTGATCGAGGGTCACAAAAAAATTGCTCGCTAGTTGCATTTGGTCCGCGGGCCGATGTTTGCCTACCACTGGTTCAGAACTTGAAAAATCTTTCTATGTATAAACGTATCGTTTTTTAAATCAATCATAGGTTTATTTATCGTTATTATATGTTCTTAATATTGTGGATCTAATTAAAAGTACTAAAACAAACGTCATTAATTAGCTACAATGTTTTTACCTTCTAATGAAAATCACTGCTGTAGCAAATATTGCAATCAATATTAGTAAAGCAATTACTCCAGCAGCAATACCGATAATACTTCCAATATCAAGACTTGTCTCTGTAAATAACAAAATTTAATGCATTCCGTAAATGGAAAAGAATAACAATGTTTAAAGGGCATGACAGGGACTCAAATGTTTTGTAACCCGAACTTTGGAGGTAAAAGTTCTTTCAACAGTAATAAATTTCTGCGTGTGGTTGATTAGAAAAAACATATGGAATTGTTAAAATGAATCGATAAAAAAGAATTGGTGAATTAAAATCGCATTACGTGGAACAATTGATTCAGTGGTGTTTTGGACTTCAATGTCTGCTATTGAGAAGAGTGTATTTCTCAATGTTGAAAATTTGATCGTAGAGCTGGTTCTTTTCCGAGCAATATCCGTAGTTTCAGTGATCAGAGGCAACGTTGTCAATGGCTCTGTGAACGAGCAATATTGTGGAAATTGAAACACGCGAATTTGAAGATATGCAACTTAGATAATCATGCAAGTGTTGTGGTCTAACAAATGTGAGGCACATTTCCACAAGGAAAGTATAACTCAGATTGAAAAAAAGATATACATATATATATATATACCAGATATATGCAATAAATTAAATCAATGATGGGAATTCTAATATACAATATGTAGATAGTGCTGCTTCCCTGAAGACATATTATGGCGAATATCTGGAATTTGTCAAATTATGAATGCAGAGATGGGTCAATCAAACCAGTCCAATTTTTTTTTCGATTATTCATTAACTTAATCTCAGATCAGTTAGTCAACATTTAAATGAGTTGATTTATATATAATCTGGAAAATGTCTGTTTATATTGTCAGCTTTTTATGTTTACTAATTGTCAGAAATTACTGTGGATTAATTTCGTTACTTGAGGCTGTTTTTAAACAAAAATGCGCAATTTCAACACTCCAAACTATTTTAGAGCACTATTTTTTTAATATAAAACTTAAAAGAAGTAAACAATATTATGAATTTCTAGGAATTTGCATGAAAATACATAAATTACCGCTTTCACATGTTATGTATTTGTACTCCAAATCGAATCCTTTTCCCCTGTTTACGATTCTTCCGTCATTAAAATAAGTTATGGTTCCTGGCCAGCCGTAAAGTCCAAGCTTAGAATATTCACATTCTTTCCTTTTTTCTATTTGCCTTTGACAAAGTCTTGGTACTGGGTCTTTTATGAAGATAAAACATTGTGGAGATCTTGTGCGTATGATTTTACAAATATATCTTTCTGTAAAATAAAACAAAAAATAAAGATTCAATAAGTTTTCCTTTCAAATTGTGTGTCCGAAAAATAAATATTTCAGCTCCACAATCCTATGTATAATTCTTAAATTTTGGAGGTGATTTGTACTCATACTAATTTCAATGCGCTTTTTTGGAACTCTATTATTGAAAAATACCAAAATTTCAAGCTCCCAAAATAAACTTTTATTTAGATTAGAAACATATATTTCTAGGATTAGGACACCTAGATTTATATGATCGAGTTATAAACATGTATAAAAATGAATTTGATATATATACGTTTTGTACTACTTTTAACAGTGAAAGTTCATGAAGTTTATAAACACTTGACTACGTTTAGACTGTGAATGATTTTTTTTAAACTTAAAGTCCAAAATTCTTATAGCTTAAAGTTCATTATGCCCAATTCTTGTTATTGGTCAAAGAAGTTCAATCACAAAAGTTGCAAATATTTGAACTTTTAACTGATTAATACATTAAATCAACAATACCGATTACCTCCCGGTAGTTTCAGATATCCCCCGTTTTCGCTACCACATGATTTCGCCCGATATAGAGAAAGATATTTCACATCGATCTGCAGTATAACATTCTGTTCTGTAGGTGATTTCAAGTTCCAATTTGATGATGAGCACGTTCCAGTGTTCTTGTTGTCTGCAATATTGCAGTAATATATTTGTATTTTCATTAATAGCAAAGTAAAAAAGTTTAACATTTTTGCAATATTTTTTTGTGTTAGTTGGAGTATACAATTTTTTTGACCAACACTTCTATGAATCGTTCTAAAAAATTCTATCCTTACTATCTATCAAGTCCCCATGTCAAATTATAAATATAAAGTACGGATCCAAAATGTTTGTTGGAGTATACATATTTTTGACCAACACTTCTAAGAAGCGTTCTAAAATATTCTATCCTTACATTCTATCAAGTCATTACATATTCCTTACATTCTATCAAGTTACATTCTACCTATGTCAAATTGTTTGGGGTTTCAAAGGAAAATAACATAATCTCTATCCACAAAATAACAAATATAAAGTACGGATCCGAAATAGAAAGTAGACAAGGTTACTTCACAAATTACTAATATATTGTCAAATCTATACTTAACTATAATTTGTCAATGTTCCAGATGTCGTCTCCAACGTAGCCATGGATGATGCTCTTGTGCGGCATTCTCCTTTGACAACTATTATAAATATAAAACAGGCTTTAGACTCCGGTACATTAGAGACAGTGCATTTAACTCTTTTATTCCAGTCATGTTTTTATGGATAACAAATTTATTCTATTGCAAACTATCGCCTAATTTAACTTAAAATAACTTACCATAGCAAACCCAACTTAACATCATCATCTTCAAGACATTCCACGGCATTCTGGGTATTAGAGAAAATTACATTAAAATATAAAGTACATCGGAATAAACTCTGATTTTGGGATGCACACAATAAATTATAAAATAGTTCAAGCACGTTAAATTTCTTAAATATAAAATATTTAAATACTCTTAATAGCTGAATTCTTGCTGGTGTTATACTTTCTAAAATTAGTATTGTGTACAATTTATTTATTCAATCAAACTTGAAACTTCGCCAGCACGTTTGTACATTTTTTCAAGTTATTCAATTTAGGCATATCTGTTGAAGCGAGGAAAGAATAAGGGTTTGCTTTTAATGCTTGCGATAGTTGCAATTACGAATATTAGCCCAATTCCATTAAATCATTACAGACTAATTACCATGGTAACAGTCTTTCTAGTAGACCAGAGTTTCCCAAACTTTTTGGGCCGCGGACCCCTGTTTGTGAATTTTATTTTTGACGGACCCCCATCCTATGCCTTATCAATTTCTGTGCTTAACCAACGAGAAACGATAATGTTTCCTTTTATAAAATAAAACTCATGAAAGTCTGATTCAATACATATTGAAGTTATAATACCGGGATCTATTTGCTACCCGATATCCGGACTGTTGGTACTAATTGAACACATAGACCTAATTAAATTGTGTATATTACTACAGTTTCACACAATTAACTAAATTTCGTTTCATGCCCCTTCCTTGCAGCAACGGTAACAGGCTCAAATGATCTTAGCAAAGTCGTACAAGTTATCGACTGGTGATAACTCAGTAACCCATACAATCAATTATACCGACGATGTAGCCCGTAGACTTCGACGCTAAAAGCAAGAATCATTCTACAACATCTTTTTTACCACCATTGTTGAAGTTTTGTAACAATACCAATTTGCGATCGCATGAATTTTTTACTTTATCTCGTTTACGAATGTTTATGTGACTGTGTATATATACGGTGAAATGTATATGTTTCAGACTCTTTTCATATCGTTGCAGACCCCCTGTACAGTCATCACGGACCCTCAGAGGTTCGCTGACCCCAGTTTGAGAAACCCTGTAGTAGACTATTCATAATCACAAATTTTAAAATTTGAAACCGTAGTTTTTCTTATCTCACTCTCAATATTAGGAACTATGATTTTATGCAACACTAGACTACGCTTGTTTGTTATAATATTTCAATTTCTTATTTTCTGCTTTGGAAGGCCCGTGCTTATCTTCTCTGTATCGTTCCCCCTTTTCGCATCTACACTCGAATCATTTACTTTGTACACTGGTCAATAAACAATAAATTGAAAGTAAAGTTGTTTGTGTAGAATAAGTCAACTCGATTTTGGAATTTACTTGAGTCAGAGGTTGACGTATTGCACGTATATACCATATGCCTTGAGTCTCTTTTGTACGTGCTATGTTGACGTCTTTCAATTTGTTAATAACGATATAAAAATTGTAAAGTATATGAATAAAACTTTTATGTATACATATTCTAAATTTAACTTTTTAAATTTGCAATCGAACACTTTTAGGTATTTATCAATGGGCGCTACAGAAGTATGTGTACCAATGTGGTAGTAACTAATTTTGTTCGCCTACTCGACATCAAGTTGTGTGAAGGGACTGAAACCTGCGCGGATATTCACTTGGCTGAGACAGACAATCTCCGAACTTGTAATTGAACAAAAAAATAATAAAATTTGAAAAAAATTATGGTCTAACCCTAACCTGGTACACATACTACGGGAGTACCTATCAATGTTATGCCTTTACATGATTTTTTTTTTCATCACTAAAATTAAAATAATTGCTGAAGATAAATGTCATTATGCACCCCTATTTCTTTGTTTTATTGCCGTTATGCAAATTAACATCAGCTTTTCCCATTTTGAATTGAAGTGTTTATTATTTATTTTTATGTTTATTATAATGATTAGGCAACGTAGCAAGTGAAGTGTTCATATTATGTATATAATGGTAGAAAAGTGCATGCAAAAAGCAGTCTGAATGAAACGTTTGCAGTGGAAAATGTGGCATGCTCTGAGTAAGTTAATTTGATGTTAATACCATTCAGCTGAGATAAGTATCTTCACTAGGGTTACTAAAAATACAAATTCGTGGATAACGGCCCTTACTTGATTAAATATCAATTTTCCTTATAGGAAACAATATTGTTGCTGTTATCCATTGAATCATTTAGTTGCCGGACTTTTTAGAAGGCAGACAAAGTGTATGATAAACTTGCTGAATGATGTGACTCAATGTTTATGCAAAATGCTGTCGAATCGTAAATAGGTAAATATAAGTACATAGGACAATCAGAATATAGTTACATTTTATCAAATTTCAAATGACAAAACTTTCTTATACTTTTGTATTTGTTGCATTATAGTGTGTAATTTTAAATCTCCAATCTTGTGTCAATTGGTATTTACTCATATATAAGAGTGATAGGATTTTCCGTGTGTTTTCTTCTCACTTATTTTTCTATTATTTTCTGTTGATTAAAAAGGGATAATAGCGTTTAGTGTTTCTTCGGGACCTGAAAAGGAAAGTAGTTTTCTTGTGGAACATTACCTTTCGATTAGCAGAGTCGTTTTACGTTTTTACGAAGTGACGCCTGTCTGCCTTTTACTTAATTTACGTTAGGTTTTGTTGATTTTTGCAATTCTATAGACGCAGTCGCACATGAAACTTCAAATTTCATCGAAGCAGAACGCGTTTGAAAATTAGAAAGTGATAAATCTGGGACGTAAGTATAATTAGTAGATTCACTATTATTCTTATATCCATGAATGAATGCCTGTAGACGCCTGTAGATCGTTATTTGACAAAATAGTCATATATATTATTGATATTATATTTGATATTAAACTAATTGCTATTTACAAATAACACTGGGCTCGTTTACTAGACGCTACAGTTAAATGGATGATTATCGTTTCCAAAATATGATTTCATCTGTAAACATTTTCACATTATGCATTTAAACCACTACATGACAAGATGATTCCTAACACAATTGTAGTAAAACAGGTATTAACAGTATGCAAATCTTGTTCTGGAGAGTGATGTTGTATTTTTCAGAATATATGGATAGTGTCCCCCGAATTGACTTGTTTAATACTACTTAATCAGCAATAACGTAATGTTGACGCAAAACTTGAAATTTTGGCAGTTGTTCTGATGCTATCTTCACTCGAACATATTTCCGGTTGTTAACATAAACTCGATATTATTCTTTTTAATGCCAATTAAAACGTTCCAATGTCAATTAAAATTACTTATGTGTAGTAAATATAGGTATAAATCGAATACCTCATTTCTCATTTTGTCGTCAGATAAGTTCCATTTCAGCTGCGGTAACCAAAAAATAGTTATGTAAATTCCGCGATGCCCTAGCCAGAAATTAAAAACGATTACCTTCTTTGGGCGTTTACTCAAATATTTTGAAACAAAATTGTGCTTAAGAGAGTATACACTTGATCACAAGCTCCAATTCACTACAAACACTCTCAAAATAAACAACAAAACGTTTTCCATTTTAAAGCATAGAAGGAATTCTAACGGAGTAAACCGTCAACAAAACGTCTATTATATGCTTGAATGACATGCCTGGATAGAACAATTTACAAAAAAAAAATCTCCAACTTATGATTATTATAAATACTCATCTGTTTAAGATTCCAAATTTGATTCCCGATAAGTTAACCTAAATTATTCAGTAAAAATTATCTTGAAACGTGGTAACCATTGATCCAGAAAAGTGTATTTGTCTTCGTTTCGAATATAAAAAAAATATAAAATCGATTTTATGTACACCATTACAGGAAGTTTCCCACCACTTATTTTATGCAATGTAAATTCATTCATAAATTTTCTGTGGTACAAATAAAGTTTTCAGTAATGTGATTCAATTTTTGGATTTTTCAAAATCAGTTTTAACATTCAATTATGAATTGCAACAAAGATTTTTGAACTCGAGTCTAAAATAGAGCGACCACATTGTAAATTATTGTCTTTGCCAAATCCTAAGAATTCGTCCGTATTACAATTCTATTGTAATCTTTTCTTTTATTTAAAAAATAAATTAGCAGTTTTTTAGACACAACAGCAGAGTGCCAGCAGAAAACCAAAGATGAAAATTATAACGCAGTTCTTCTGAGAGTCACTTTATTTACACATTTACATTATTGTCGAAGTAACTCTTTATTATTCGAAGGCAACACTTCCAACACATCGGCTCAAATGATTGAACAAATTGTCAGGCTTGCGCTATTACATCTCTAATTTTCCCTTCGACATAAAACTCCATTTCTGGAGAATGTTGGGGGATAGTTTGCCATTCCGTGATTTGGGTCTTTTACGTCGCGTTTAATAATGAGGTAGATGTTGGTATATTCTGCGTACGGTCTCCCTTTTTTGGGAAAATGCTGATACCATTTTGTGAAGGAATCTTCAGGTTCTATCTTACCGGTCTAAAAATAGAAAAAAAAGTTGCTTGATATAACTATATATCCGTGTTGATATTTGGTATTTTGCTTTTGTATTTTGCAAAATTTAACATACCAATTAAATAAAATCCAATGATATTATGTTGTTGTATTTAACGTCATCTAACTCACAGAAGATTAAATTAAATATCATTAAGTTAAAACCTAAAAAGAGATTCTAAGTATAGTTAGTATAGTGTAGAGTTCATTTACATTTATCGTCAATAGAGCTTATTTAGAGATAAGTAAAAAATATAGTTCAGCCATCAATAACTTACAGGTGGATTTATTTCTTTTGCTGTCCATATTTGAATATAATTCCATCCAATTGGAATAACTTTACGTAGGTAATCTGATATTTTCTGATAACTTTCCGCATTAGGAACATCAGCAATTACTGAGCTATGTGATGTACAGATAGACACAGCCTTTTTATAATCCGTGTCCCATATAGGATGGACTTCACTCCAATAGCAAACACCATCAATGAGCATTTGACAAGTATCTGGAATGATATAACATTTAAATAAAATAGTATTTTAGTAGAGTTTGATATAGAGATGTTTTCATTCTCTGGCATTTTCAATTTGTTACACTATTTTAAATATTGCTGAGGTAGCCAACAAAGTTTTCTTCTGAAAAAACGTTTTTGTGTTTTTGAAAAACAAGTATCTCATATACATATAGGTAATTCAGTGTTCAGTTCATAATTGTATTACCGTTTAACAGTTTCGAGAGGAAAGGATGAATTAATTTCACAAAAATTTTTAGTGATAACGTGGTTGTAACTTTATAGATTGCTGAAACACAGGTAATTGAAGCCACTTAACTAAAAACAAATATCCAACTAACTAAAATAACGTTTTGATATTGTTTAATATGATATCATTGAAACAAATATCTAATTTTAACATCTAATTGTAACAAAATTGATTTATAAATTCTTCATTTTAGCTGTGGAGATTCGTAAATTTCCACTGCAACACCCACACATTTTTATTTTCATTGCACAATGGGCGGTACATGTGACACGCACTCGAAACAAGTACGGTGGCACAGTCGAAGCGTGAATACAACATAGAGGTAAATGGGACCTCCCGAAGTATGCGCTCAAGATGGCGCACAACCTGAACTCAGGTTGTGTACCAGGTTAGGGTTCAGGTTATGCGACATCTTGGTGCGCATACTTCAGGAGTACCGATAAATGTTTCGAATAATCAAGAAAGTTTGCAACAAAGTAAAATTTCAGAATGGTGCCGTTTGAAATGTGTTTGATAATTAATGTTTTTCGACTCGATTGCCAAGCTAGTGATTAAATGTGAAACTTGATTATATTGCCATCTGCATTTAAAACTCTTGAGATGAAATCTCACATCTAACTATCTCAGTGTGTAATAAATTGAGTGAACAAAAGCAAAACTGAAAGAAACCTTTTTGTACAAAGTATTTATATTTCGTTTGCTTGCATTTGATGCTTGTTAATACTCTTGTTATGAGCAAACGTCGTGAAAAACATTCATTTGCATCGTATTATTACCTAAATCATCCGTCGATTCCGAAACAGAAGTAGGTTTGGGCATATTCGCTGTGGTAGTTTGAACAGTAGTAGTAGACTGGGATGTCGTTGTTGTGGTCGTGGGGGTTGCAGATTTTATTTGCCCGTTAAAATCTTTATTTGAGAATCTGGATAATTTATCATTTGCTTCTTTGACTTTTTCTTCGAATCCATAGAGCTTTTGTTTCACTAGAGACGAAAAATTTAAGTTATAATAATAATATCTATTGTCAAATATGGTTACACCTATTACTATATCAAAACATAAATAAAGTTTATGCCCAAATTGGTTTGCACAAACAAAGGCAAAAAAAACTTGTTACAAATAGTCAGTCACAACTACATAAACATCTGTCATTCAATGATCTCTTGATCGACCATATCATAAGGACAATAATGGAGTGTTGTTATATAATAAAAAAAATATTTTGGGATGCAAAGAATGTAACAGAAACAAATTAGCAATAATAACACTTGAAATTGATAACGTTCAATAAACAAAGGTTGCTAATTACCATCATCCAAATAGGACTTCATCGTTTGAATTGTTCCAATGTACTGTTCCGTTTCATTCCGGAGATCACGTATTTCTAAAAAAGAATAAGTAAAACTTGCAGAATATCGTCCCATATGAAAGTCCAATGTCCGTGAATAAAACGAAAAATATGTATAAAATAGTAGTCTTTAAAATTTGATCCTAATCTATACACAAAACTAGCTGTCAAAAATTAAAGTATGTTTCTGATGATAACATTACAAATAATTTGTGTAGGCGGCATGTCATAAATGTGTTTCGAAATATTCTATTTATTTAGCCGCAGTTTAGCGTCGATTTTAGGTTACTAGGAACGAAAACTTTTTATAGCTTACTCGACAATTGACTATACTAAATTACGAAAATTTGTACAATTTTTACAATGCTCCTATTTTATTTTACACCATTTCTTCCTGCAAATTATAATGGCCGCTCTGCCAAGTTGAGCATTTGTGAAACCAGTTTGTGACATCATCGCCTGTATAAAAATATCGATATCACCGACCAATTTGAGGCAAATTTCATTGTTAAAAAGTACTATATGAACCTAAAAATTTTGGTTCACATCTTTCTATAAATTACCGTCATGCTGTATTTTTACCGCTTAGTTTTATAAAAACTTTTTATTAATCAAAACCGATGTTTTGCTTTCTGTAAATCAATTTTGCCTCGCAAGGGCCAAATAACTGACATTTGCAGAATATTTACGTAATTGTCACTGGACCATTCATTGTTTAAAACAATTTGTTGCCATTGGCATTATTGTTGACAATGTCACTGACAGTTATTGCTAAAAGTTCCCGTATCCCTCTACATTGAAATAACTTTTTTCTGCGTTGCATTGGTTTTAGAAACTATAATAGATCCCAGGCTTATGCTATTTCAGAAGGACAAGAGACATACTTCCAGAGATCTCTTTATGCTATTTTTTATATTACTTTTCAAGTATTAAGAGCGGCGTTGAACTCTCCGACTAATATATAATTATTGTTACCTTTCTCCATTTCCATTTTTTCTTTTTCCATGCTTTCAATTTTTTTGTTGCTCGCTTCGCGGACGAATTTCAGCTCTTTAAATAAATTCAATATTGAGCTCCATATAACTCAAAAATATTACCATAAAATATATGCAATTTATCATTCTTTCATATGAAGAAAGATGATTCCCACACATATTAATCATCACTAAATAATGAATCGATACTTGCAATGGATATGCTAAAAATCTAAAATTGCACATTTTATCGAAGTTTGCTAGTCAATAGGTAGTCTACGGTTGGCCAACAGGACGCTGAATATAGTATGAAGAAGTATCTTCTAAGAAATTGTTATCAACAAAGGCGCCTCCTCTCATTAAGCGTTCCAGACAAGTGCGTGCGTAATAGCTCTACATTTTTAATGTTGCAATGAATTTGGAGAATATTGAAAATAACTTAATTATGATTCAGTTACCTTTTTTAATATCTTCGTGTTCTTTCTTCAAAATGTTTACTTGATTTACGTTGGTATCGCGAATATCGGTAATCTCTGAGTACAGAGTATAAATAAATACCTAGTAAGCATGCCATGTAAAACTGTATCAATAACCATCAATAAGTGAAACCCACTGTTTAGATAAGGTATATTTATTATTATTATCATTATAGCAAAGGAAAATGAATTGTCCAAATAACTGATTTCTTAAGAATCTCTCTTACCTTTTTGAATTTCTTCACGCTTTTTATTCGTAACCTCATTTTGCTTATTTTGGAATTTTGTTATTTCTGCAATAAAGTGAAATATATATTTATTAGGAGCTTGAGTAATCAAGTTGACTTACATCAAATGGATTCATATGCGTATAATGCAAGCATATCGTAGCATAAAAAATAGGTTTAAATTCTATTTGATTCAAGAGTCTTGCTGTACACTAAACCAAATGTAACTAAACTCTCGAATAAAATAAGTGTACCTTGTTGCACTTTTTTATTAATTTTATCAATCGTAATATCTAATTCTCCATTAGAGGTTTGCATATTACTCATTTCTTTCTTCAACTCTTCATTTTCTTTTTTTAATACTGCTACAGATTTGCTGGTTGTTTCCCACATATTCATAGATTCTGCATGTAAAATGTAAAGTTATTATGCTAAAATTAGAATTGTATACATGTTGGATAACCCACACAACAAAAGTAAAAAAACGAGCATCTTATAAGTATATAATTTACTTACAATAGTTTGATTATGGAAATGATCAACATTAAAAATTTTGTCTTTCTATTTAAATCTTGCTCTTAAAAATATAATGATATATTAAAAGTGTACAAAAATACTTGTTTACTTGCAATGAGTTTCTATTGTTTGTTTGTATTTAATACAATTTTCACTAAATAAGTGCTTACCTTCTCTGAAAAATTCATAATCCGTCTGTATTTCTTCCAATCGTTTTGTTGCAAAATCACTCGAATTTTTTATTTTCTCATTTTCTAATAGATTAAAATTATTGGATTAGGCTTTATGTCACAACAACATAAAATTTTGTAATCCTTAACAAACATTTATTTTGTAGTATAATTATTTTTATATACCTTTACTACTTTTAAAGGGGAAATATTAAGCTATATACATTGCTAAGCAGTATTTGATACGACGCTCCAGAAGTATGTGTACCAATATGGAGGTAACTAATTTTGTTCACCTATTTTACATCAAGTTGAGTGAATGGACTGAAACCCAGGGGCAGTGGGTATATTCACTTGACTGACACAGACAGTCCCTGAACACGTAATAGAACTAAAATAACGAAAATTGGAATCAAATTATGGCCTAACCCTATCCTGGTACACATACTATATAGTACATTTTATACATCAAATTACCTTCTTTTTGCTTTTCCAGATTTTCTTTCATTTTATCGATCTGGGTTTTGTGATTATCTTTCATTGCTTTTAACCCTGTAAAGCAATAATGAATTATATTGTATAAATCTTAAACAGCGCATTTTGATAATTTCTGAAATACCTTACATTGATTTGGTACTTCTAATGTGGTGTAATGTGATGATAATTTTTTATTCTAGAATTAACCTGCAAGAATATTAGTTTCACCTGTATGATATCGGTTACAGCCATCTCATCTTTTACGCTACTTATTTTACGGTCAATGTACGAGCAATTTTGTTTTTGAGTAATTTTTGTAATTTTATACAACTTTATATTCATGGATCGTTTCGGTTTCTACTTCAATTTCAGTATCGGGTTGTAATATCTCCATTGTTATTATTGAAAATGACCGGAACTGCCAAATATCGCAATATTGTGTAACATTTTAAAAGGTATATTACCATTCTCCGTGTCGGTTTTAAATTTCTTCAGATTCATTAGTTCTACTGTTAATTCAGTACTTCGGCCTCGAAGTTGTTTGATATCTAAATCATACGAGAATTGATCTGCTTTATTGTGGCGGTAAAATATTTATTAAATGCTTCAACTTTGAAGAAATTTATTTGCTCCTAATATTTAACATAACTTCAAGGTTTTCAATTCTGAATAAAGCTACTGATTTGGTTTCTGTGATACTAATTACTTATACTTTTCTTTTGTGTGTCTACAATATTCTGCATGTCACAAATAAATCAAATTAAAAAAAGGCGTCATTTCAATTTGAGTCGTACAACATCAAACAAATTCCATATTTTTGTTATCAACGTAAGAGTTTGATAGAAACCACATATAGTCATATACCTTTGTTTTGTCTCCCGATCAGCGTTCGAAAAGTGTTTAAGACGTCGGATTGATTTTTGTTGACATCGCCAAGCTGATAGAGTTCTGTTCATTAGTAGCAAAGTAAATATAAGAAAATTTAATCAATATTTATATGAGTTAGAAAGCCTGAAAATGTTTAACCCGGAATTATAAACATTAAGCATTGTGGTTTTGGTCCATTCTCAGATTGTTAATATTTTTTAACATTGAATTATAAGTTTCGGTGAAAAAATCACATATCAATTAGAAAACTTCAAGATACAAATACACAATTATCAATAACCTTTATATCATTAGTTTTATCACTTCATACAGTAATTTACAAATAATATAAACCCTATAAATTACACTATTGTGACAAATTATCAGATGATAAACTGTAAAGTATTATATAAAAATTTAAAATACCAAAATAAAGTCTCACCCATCTGAAACAGTTTCTGAGCTTCCTGGTTTTTTGCTAATTGCCCCTTCAATTGAGAATTTGTTTTTCGAAGATTATTCAGTTCTAAAACAAAATATTTTAACAAAATGTATAAATTCTAAATGTAATAAGGGGGCAAGAACATAAATGTTTCAACCGTATTTATTTCATATCGTGCCAAGTATTTAAAAAACATTTGTGGAACATTTTTTTACTCACAGTGATAAACTGAGTTTAATTAAATATCGAGATTTCTAATTGAATGTTTAAATATATTAATAGATTTAAAACCGTTTGTTCAGTAAACCAATTATGTAATATTTACTTTTTAACAAGAAGCAAAACCATGTACTTTTTGAGATTTTAAATGTATAACCAGGTCACCAACCACAATCTTCACCGCTTTTATTAATAGAAGAGCCAAAACTGTTGAATTAATCGGGCTAATCCATGTTTCATGTTTAAATAAAATATCTCGTTTGTATTCTGACGTATAAAGTTCTTTTATGATTGAATTTTCGATGATCTTTGCAAAATATCAGATGTGCTGATACATCATTTTAAATATCATCTTATATAATTACCATCAGATTACTAGGGCGTTAAAATTTCTACATCCGTAAATAAGATAAATAAAACCAAAAAACTACAACCCCTAAAAATTAATATAAGAATAAGAATAGCATGATCAAAAGATTAGGTATTGTCTAGCTAGAACTACATGTCCATCTGAACCGAAATTTTAAAATATGTCCGTAATAAGTATTTCTAATTAGTTTTTTGGAAAACGGTCATGACAGATATTTCCTTCTGTACCGTTTGATGACGACTGTAACCCAACGTTGTATTATATGGGATAATATGAATTATGACTGATCTTTTTTGATTACAATCTTACGGATCATTGTCGCTACCGCAGTGACAGAGTTCTTGGCATTTTAAAATTTGATGTTCAAATCACGTGAATAACGTTTTTGAGATATCGTCAATGCTATCAATGTCATTCAAGCAACATTTTAAATTCACACAAATCACATTCATTTGAATAAAAAACGGTATTAATTTTAAACTATGTACGCTTATAGTTTAGTCTTATCTATGTATAGCATAGTATAATCTTACATATCTTTGCTAAACAATGAAGAACAGCTATTTACCATTTTTGATAATATTGATCTCGGAAATTGACTTAGTAACCATTTTGAATACTCCGGAAAGATCTATACCAATTTCTGAACCACTTTTTGTCCCTCTAGATTTGGACTGGCATGTTAGCGGAAATTGACTTTTTTCTAAATATTCTAGAATGTTAAATCCTTCCGTCGTGGCTTCACATTTTACATCCATTTTGCATCCTTTCTTTGGTCTGCAATTCAAGATTTCTTCTTGTCCTTTGGTGATTATAGTTACACTTGACAAGTACAATGCAATAATTAAATGATATCTAGCCATATTGCTAAAAAGGTTACAATGTTTTGAAATGATATCCAACGGAAACAGTTCTATAAGAGGAAGCAATAAAATTTCATAACGGTGAAATTTCATATTTGAAGAATATTAATTTTCTAAATTCGCGTGCCTAATAAACTATTTTGCTCTTGGGAGTTTTGACGATTTATGTCTATCCAACGAAACCATCAGTGCTATTTACTAAACCATATTTCCTATAACTTTTACTAAAGTATTTCATCAAAAAATACGAAACAATTTTTTTACCTTGCCTAAGCTGTAAAAAATTCTCATGTATTGTCCACTCTTTTTATATTTCCTATGCCGACTGTTTGTTCTGAGTCACGGCACGATTTTAAAATTTACTGAGATACAGAGGCAATTACTGAATTTACTGAATATAATGCGATATGTTGAACTCCGTAGAAACGTTATCTTGTATAGGACAGACTTCTCTAATCCCAGATATAATTCTATTGTTATCAACTCAGCCTTATTCACAAATAGAATTATACAGTAGTATTTAGCGTGGCAAAGTGTACATAAATAGAATTCAATAATATTTAGGTTTCTATTCAAAATAATGTGTCGCGACTGATTACGAAACTATATGCAAACAACACTGTTGAAAATTAGAAATCAAAGCTAACTCTGAGTTACATGCATAACCTATGAACAACCCGGTATTTGGAATTGTGCAGTTCACAAAACTTGTGCAAAGTGTTATTGTCATTATTGACGATGAAAAAATACCAAAGTGAAACTTTACAATAACAAGCGTGGAATTTAAAGTATTTAAAAACCGGATTCTTTGTCTATGCCTGCTAATCCTAACCACTACAAACCTTAAAGCTAAATCAAAATTACGTTTTACGCCCTAAATGTTAAACATAATCTAACTCCTGGTATGATGCCTCAGGCTACAGACGAAATTCCATAATTATATCATCCATATATACTTACAAAACACACCGAAGATTCTAAAGCGACACAGATTTAGTATGTACACATTCTTAAAAAATTCATCAATAAGTTTATAATCTATCATACATGTATTATATTGTATTGAATAGAATTATATATTACACTATAATACTCTATTTACTATTACGAAATTCTCATACAGCTATCAAAGTTTTCCTTCTGAATCACACTCGAAACCAATTCTTGAAGCAATTTTTTACATTATGGCTCAATCTGACATTATACAGCAATTAACTTATGCTATATAGAGGCTTATTACATGTGAACGAGTTATAAAAAAGGGTTTGTTCAATCTATTTTATGCTTTTATTAAAATATGTAATTTTACGTATATAGTGAATGTTTACTCTATATATTATCCAATGCAAATAAAACTCTTCCTATAATTTTACTCTATATTCAATTTCGATTTCCGATTACTGCAACTCAACTAAACTTTCTCAGATGCTTGAGACTGTCAAGTTGCTTGATTCATAACTAAACTGTGGAAACATAAGTAAAGATCGAAGAATGAAACCTCAATAAGGAAATTAAATCACTCTTCGCATTTATTCTTGCCGTGCGAATGGCATATTTCAATGATTTCCTGGTTAACTTGCTAGGTAGAGTTAGGTAGAGCTATAAGTGAACATTCAGTACAAAAGCTTCATTAATTAAACTGTTCTATACGATTCAAGGATCATTAGGCACACCATCACAAATGCATTTCTGCAACGTTTCGTCTGACCGAAATCAGACTTCTTCAGAAAAACATATTTTTAAACTGCATATCAACCCACAACACCACTTTGAACTGTGACCTTCAAGTTTACAATGACCTTCACCTGCCCGCCACTGCATGGCGTCGGATATTCTATAATGCGTAGAGCAATGGATTTGATGAGATTGTATGATAGTAAAATAAATCCTTTCAATTTTGAAATATTTGGAGAACATGTTTGCCAAGTATCGGACAAGCACTCTTCACAAAACCGGGCATGAACAATTATGTCATCATCTGACGCATGTACACGTTAATTTGGCGATTATTGAACTGAGTTAATTATTGTAATTATGATATAGATAGCACTTGACGAACCAGCTGATCTAGTTACCTTGTAAGTGTTTTTTTACATTTCTACTCGTTTGATTGTAAGATTGTTGGAACCAAAAACAACATTGGCCTTTCAAAGTCATATGAATGAATTGCCGAATTTCAGAGGGGTTTATATTATATATATATACATAATTTGTGCTGTGGATTGGGTTTCTACGGGACTTGCTACTTATCCTTATTCTGTGTTTTTGCGTCGGTGAATAAATAAAATTTAAACGTTTTGCAATCCTGGGCGACGTTTGACGGCTCAGCTTAAACCACATTATTTGGAATGAAAAAGTTTGAGATTGTATTTTTAACTGAAATACATATTATCCTAAAATTACATATTCTTTTGGGTGGCGCTAGAGAGCAATTGATTTTCCCACAATTTGCTCTGTCACATCACCGGTGATATTCTTGGATATTTAAAATCCAATAAATCCACAAAAATCCCAGAACTAGGACGATCATATATATTAATGTACAAATAGGACAAGCCTGCAAAATATTATATGAACAATATTGATGGATTATCTAAATTGTTGAGTCCCAAGCCATTTTAAACATGAATCACCAATTTTATTGTATGTTGCGAATAATGATATTTTAGACTGAAACTTTGCAAATTATTCTACATATAAGCCTAATATGTATCCGCTGGGTCGCAGATATCAAAAATTATCACTCAAACAGCAACTTACGCATACATTCCTTTTGGACTTCAGTCGAGTAAAAATGTATTTGTTTAAATTTAAAAATTACATTTGTATAAATTCTAATATCCTAATCGAAATGTTTGGCATGTGCTGTACTATAGACTTCCATACTATACCAGTATAGATTTTCCAATGCGTTAACCATTAGAAAAAGAATCGACAATAGAAAGGGGTAGAGGGGCAGTGTGTGTGTGAAGGGGGTTGTGCTCCCATCACTTGCATGCTCTAACGATAAACACCAGTACATCAGTACATGCAGACAGACTGAAGCGCTGAACACTATCGAGAAGATGGGTGCTCCTGAAATATGCGCACCAAGATGTCGCATAACCTGAACCCTAACCTGCTACACATACTATGTTCAGGTTGCGCGCCATCTTGGTGCGCATACTTCAGGAGGTCCGAGAAGAGTTTACAAGATGGCGGGGCTTGTAATCGATTTCATGTATCTCCTGAGCGAGATAAGATTCCTGCTTGGCATAAATCGAATTGGCGACATAGATATCGACTATTTCCGTCTTGATGCTATATGAGTTGAGGTCGATAATTCAAAATATTGGAAATCATTTAAGCATTCGTAATGCTGTTATTTTTCCCTTTGAATTAAAATTCGATCACGCGTAATTATTAATTAATACTGCAACTGTCCAATATTGAGCTTGAGTGCTTTATGAAAATTTAGGTAAAATTATTAGCATTTCAGAGTAATTGAATGTTTTAATTTTTTCTGTTTTTAAGAAGAGTTTGAAATGAGATTTGAGACAGAAATTTTTTACATGGGACACAAGCTTTATTATCACAATCATCCACAGACTACTTTTGATGTAATAAACTTTATTTTGGTTTTTTCGATGGTCAAACAAAAAGTGACTAATGACAGCAACATGATTGGAGAAATCAAAATCTATGAAATGTAGAAACATTTTGGCTTGAAACGAAAATTCAACTTTGAATCTCAATATAAGTGTTTACGTTGACATTTGAATAAGACCCAACAAAATCTCTTTGAATGTATCCATTGACGTATCCTGCAACAAACCGAAAAATATTTCGGCGTGAACCAAAAAATTTACTGTGAACCTCAGTTTACTCGTATAGGTATCGCTCAGCATTTGACCATAACCTTATATTTTTAACTAAAAATAATCATAAAGTTCTACTCGCCTGCGAGTTGGTCGCAAGCATTTTGGCGTGGGTTTTAACTTCCGATATAAATCACATTTTATTCAAATCCTCAAATTATTCGAAATATTTTTTTATATTTGTAATCGCAGAGTTTCACTCAGGATGTCTTTACATCTAATCAGGCGATCACGTAGACGAGTTCTTCCTTATACGATAGCTTTGTATCAACAAATAAGCTACGAGATTAACTTTCAAATACTGTATATTTTACTCCTTTTTGTAGCAGGTAAGCTATTCTTACAATCGATAATTTTCTTTTCATCACGAACCCGGTGTAATCGAGACAGGCTTATGTTTATATTCCTATTGATTCTTTCTTATATTACACTGTCAACGAAATAATAAAAATCACTGTTGTTGGTTAGTTAATACATAGATCAGCTCTGAGGAGAAATATATTTTATAACATGGGCTATTACTTGAATATGAGTCACAAGAACTGTGTTCAGTCCAATGCCAATAGTAACCGTTATCAGGTGGGTTATCCGTGGAATGCAATCATTGTTAAATATCAGTAAAATTTTTGCATCTTTTTACCATTAATCTGTGATGAGCACGAGGTTATTGCAAGTGCAAATGCGCATTACGCCTGCAATATTGAGCTGTAAACAATGTTGAGCTTGGTGTGAGGAATCGTATAACCGACAATAAAATTTTAGGTTAGAAGCTTAAAAGCCATGTCTATTACATGTACACATTACAGAATTACAGTTTAGACTCATTTTATGGGATTTCTGCTCAAGCTTTGATCTGTGCAGATATTTATCTGCATTGCTAATGAAGTCTTTGCAAGACACGTAATATATTTCGAATATTTGTCGTTTGTGGGCTTTAGCTGTATTGATAGATAAATAAGGGATGAATTGAAAAGAAATCAAGTGAGATTGTTTAACGATGCATGCAATACGCGGCCCGCGGACATCAGCCCGGCTCTCCAAGACATTTAGTGTAGTGGCCCTTGTCAACACTCAGATTTTTCATTATCAAGCATAGAATCCCTATCCGAAAGTTTATGTTAAAAATACGCTCACGTGAGTATAAATACATGATGTTTTATGCTCTTTTCGCTGCCTTAAATCT